CGTGAATTGCGAAATCGGACTCTGCATTTCCGGATTTTTTGAGAATTCCACACGAAGGCAACATTCCGGCAGATGACGCAGCTGGGAAGACAGACGCTTCATGCAGATGGTGGCCACAAATTACGTAAGTACAAAATTATTTTTTACGTTAAACTTGTATTTCAGGTAAAGTTAGCACGCGCGGACTGTGCGACCAGGAGTCGAACCCCTGCCGTTTTATCGGAGATATCTAGATTATAGAAGGCCAAACCATATCACTGGCCGACTTCCTCTACTTCGCAATTGAGGTATCGTGTGTGCTTTTCGCGTGGGAAACGAAAGACCGTCCGCACAAAGTTCGTGAAGTGCGAAATCGGACTCTGCATTTCCGGATTTTTTTTAGAATTCCACACGAAAGCAACATTCTGGCAGATGACGCAGGTGGGAAGACAGATACTCCATGCAGATGGTGGCCAAAAATTATATAAGTAGGACATTATTTTCTACCTTAAAAATGTATTTCAAATAACGTCCGCACACGCGGACTGTGCGCCCCCATATGGGGACATACGTACCGCTGACTAAACATGTGCGACCCCATATGGGGACTATAGTCGTTTAAAGGTTAATTTTCTTCTATTCTGACAGATATTTGTGTCAAATGCCTTATTCTCTAACAATCTCTGTAAAAAAAAAGTAGTGTGCCTTCTTAAATTAAGGTGTATATTGCATATTACAGAAACAAATGAGGCTATTTAATACTTATACACTTGAAAGAATTCTGATGATGGTGTATGCTGTACAGAACTATAAGGCTTATTTTGGAAATTATCTATCATCTGGTATATATAAGACAAAAAACCATGTTTAGGAGACTGCATCTGTCTCCGTCCTCACGTGGATGGGGCAGGGTAGACCTACTCAGTTGAGCCCGTTAGAAAGAGTTAGTCCCCATCACTCGAGGATGGAGACGGATCGTCTCCAAAACGTTGTGGTTTTTTGTCTTATGTATACCAGACGATGGATAAGTCCAAAATAAGCCTTATGGTTCTGTACTATTTAATACTGACTTACAACACTGAAGTCATGAGATCAACATTATTTTACCTGGTGTTTAAATTACATTCTGCAAACATCTAGATCTGAACTGTGGACAGAGAATCTTACTGTACTGTACCTTGCCTCCAAGCTGCTGTGGAGTGGCAAGGATATGTGCCACCTGATTGCCTTGCGAAACAACCGTCACTGGAGTCACTATAGGGGTCAGACCCGTGTGGCTGCCCAGTGGTGTCACCACATGCGTGATACCTGCAAAGTAAATGAACTATAGTTCTCTCTTTCGTTTACACACAGTGGGGCTCACATTCAAAGCTCCTCATTCTTTTTGACAGAATGATTAGGCACAGGGGCAACTCCACTTTTATCTTATGAGCCCAATGTTAAATTCACTGATGCTTCATTTCACCAGGAAACCAATAAGACATCGATTACAACAAATTTTCATCTTTACTCTAGGGTACCATTTTGAATAAAAGATGTGTTGGCTCTCTCACTAATCATACCTGCAGATGTTAGGTGGGCGGGAATTGTTCCAGCTCCATGAATAGCGGGTGTCAGCACAGTGCCACTTGCTTCTGAAAGGACAAAAGCTGATGTGTTGATAAATATCAAACAATGCAAGTTCTGTGTTAGTCCAATATGCCTTAATGCTTTATGTGCAATGAATGGCCCTGTGCACTTTCCATGTGATTTAAATGGATGCAAACACTGTAAAACTGATAATGCTGTCACTTATATTCAGTGCAACAATTTTACACGCGTGAATTTGTACTGATTTTGGAATTTATTTACAAAACTTCTTGGTCTCAACATAAATGGTAAGCTGACTCATCAACTGTATTCTTTGAAGGGAGAATTCTCAGAGTAGGTCCAGTATACAGGCAAGTAACTACATGTGCACAATTATAGAGCTCAGGGTAACAGTTACATAAGGTAGAGGTCCGACCCCTCGGTGGTCCAGCCCCCGCCTAGCTGCTAGACCGACTTTGCTATCCCAGCTGACATAAGAAATAAAATAACGGACTGGCGAATGGATTTATTGACCATTTGCATACATCACTCAGAACTACACTTTCCAGTTCATTGATACAGACTAGTTTCCTCAGTCTATTACAATCTTCCCTTTGCTGTTTCCTGGTAACAGATTTAACACAGTGGAGATTCCTCAGTTTTCCACACTCAAGTCCTCTTGTCACAGCTGCCTATGCATATATCTTTGTGAACTGACAACTCAACCAACTGGGTCCCAGACTGGCAGCCATTTCACACCAACCTCCTAGTCTTCTCTTCACAGGCTGACTCTCAACTGACACCTGTACTCTCTCACTCACCAACCAGTTACTTCACGTCACTTCCCTCAACTGAACTCCTGACAACTCCTCTACAATTGACTAATCTGGAACTTGACCAATCCTGCTTTTAACGCTTCGGCACGAACCACAGAGAAACACCATTTCCATTGTTATAGTCCAACAATACATTCACAGTTGCATAGGAAAGGGGTGTTTGTTTATTCACCTATTGCATAGCAACAGCTGTTGTTTACAGAGTCACTGCTTAGCAATGGGTCTATATGCCATAATACAGGAACTTCCATTGAGGTATTGGGTAACAGCCTACTTTATATTGTTAGGGAAATAAGAAAAAGGTTAAAATGGGATGGATATGTAACTGTGATAGGAAAGCGAGAATGTAAACAGAACTTTGGTAAGAAAACCTGTCATGAAACAGTGACTAGGAAGACAAGGGAAATCATGGGAGGCTAATATTGGAATAGATCATATAAAAACAGTTCCTGGATAGAAATGGACCGAGTCAAAATGTGTCCTGAGGCTACATTTCCATGCTGTGGTGCTGACCTTTTTGACCTACCCTAGAAAGCTGATTCATACTGCATTAGACACGAGGGTTAAGGAAACATTAAGTAATCAAATGATTCACCCTTTCATCACCATACAATTTTCAGAACCATAAACTGAATATGACTAATTCAGATGTAACCTCTTCAAGTTTCCAACATAATTAATGAAGATGGAGGTGATTAGATTATCAATGGCCTTCAGTGGCATAATCAACATATTTAATGTTTTCACTTTAGAAGGGCAATCAATCTTAACTGTGGGCACCCTACATTTAGTTTTCTTTTTGGAGTTTATTTTAGCTTACCTTGGAATCGTCTGCCTTCCATTTGTAGAATGTGATATTTCCACTCACCGCAATCTGGATTTCAGAATTTTATCATTTAGATTCAAGATGTTCTATTCTTACTCAATTCTAATATTTCTCATTTATTTCTGCTGTTTCAATTTTTGTTTCCTGTTCTTTTTTTGTTACAGTATAGATTTCTGTAGCTGTATGAGTCTATGTACTGCCATAGTTTTATAAAACTTTTATCTGTGTATCCTTCCTTGTCTTGTTACTGAATGTTCTTATTTTGCTGCACATTTGGTTAGAATGACTTCAGAAGGTAATCCTTACCAGATCCAGGAGTATGGGCAATTGACTTGGCGGTGAGGGTAACTCCTGCATGTCCCAGCACACCGTTTGGAAGAGTTAAACCTAAAATGAAAAATAAAATAAAACTGTGTGGGATATGAAGTTCTCACAGCAGTGTCTATGAAGAATACTATCATCTGGATTTTTACATCATTAATCTGCTTGTTGGCACAGCTTACTGTTCAACCTTGAAGATCGAGACAACATATTCCCCTGATATGTCAGTAAACTCACACCAAACTACATGTTGTCATATCCCAGATGATGATAAGCAAATGAAGTAAAACAGGTTTCCAACTACTTGATGTTTTGCAGACATTTCTGCCAACCAGTAATACTTAGCTTCCTTTCCTTATTTAGCAAGGTAATAGAGGCTTATGGCCAATCTTAGCGTTGTTCTGTTCAACATTAACTTTTGAACTAATAATGAATTTTATGAAACCTGGAATTCACATCATGCCACTGTATTATACCCATCTCTGTACCTTCAAATTTCCTATCATCAATGGACAATAGCACTAACACGGCAACCATGTAAATTTCTAAGGTGGGAGTGACAGTACCATCATGAGTAGAATCCTGAAATTTTGTAAAGTTATATCTAACAAATTACATATACAAAACTGTTCTTAAATAGTATCATTATTAATTTACAATTCTTCCTCCCCTCACCATTTACACTGAAGCAAATTTAGACGACAAAAATTAATAAATATAGGCATTATATACAAATTACTTTCCAAGGTAACGATGAAAATTGAATGAATGCATAAATTATAATCAAAAAGCTAAATATTGGCTAACATAAACCTAGAAATTGTAATCATTAACAATAACCTTACCTGGGTTTATACTTATGAACCACCTCACAGTGGGAAAGCACAATAGATGTCTGTACACAGCAGTGGAGAACATTGCAGTATCATAACCGCTAGACTGGCTCAAAATAATGAGGTATTTGTGTTGCAATGACATAATATATGGCCAGATGAACCATGGGTGTGCACTAACAACATGGCAAACACACAGCCAATGAAAGTTAGTATGCCAGGCTATTTACTACATTCAGTGACCCACTATAGTGCCTTTACTGAAAAACAATGTATTCCATATGTAGAATTAGCTGTAGAGCATCACCTGTCAAACTTTATCTTACACATTTGACACAAACCATGGAGTGATGTGGAAAACACAAACCTCCAGCGAGTGTTATGGGGTGATGTTTGCTCGAGGCAGTGGCCCGCATTGTCCCATTTGCTGGCAGGATGTTGAGTTCTGCCCCACCTGGGAGACGTGCAGCCTCTGTTGCAAGAGCAACACTCCCAGCAACCATCTTATTTGTTAAATGCAATGTTGGTAAAGTGATGGCAGCAGTTGTCCTGGTGTCTGAAGACTCACTACTGCCCACTCCCCGTAATCGTGGATGGGACATCACGGCTGAAGCAGGTGAATGGCCAATATCTAGTAGTGACAGCATGTAAAGGATAAAACTGATCAATATGCAGTGTAATGTATCATGACCCCTTTTACGGTCGCAAGAGTGCTTTTCAAGTTACAAAGCAGGTAACTGTTAGGATTATCAACTTCCTCTGCTTCAGCTTTAACTCAACAGATAGTGAAGTACATTATAACGTCTTTTAAATACACTTTAGTCTCTATCAAGAGATAATGCTAATATAACTCCAAAACACTGCAGGGCGTGGTTAGAATTGTTATGTTCTATTTATCAAATTATTTTGGGTAGCATAAAGCAGAAGCATGGGAAATTTGAATTTTGAGCAGGAACCCCCAATGCCAAGACACAAGCAGCTGCACCATAAACATGAGGGGGTAAGATGATATTCATTTTCTAATATGCTGTGGGTACAACTAGGGACAATTTACTGTTTGGGGAGAAACCTGAAAGGCTTAATGCTGAAACTGAAGCTCCATAACTAGCCACTGGATTTCAATTACATTTGATGGAGGTGTCTTATAGCAGAAGTATCATATATGCTCTACTGGTCTCATATACGAGCTGGGATAGCTGTCAGTATACTGACTGGCTATGAGGTGACATCTAGGGTTGACTCAGCCTCATGTCAAATGGCTACATGGGCTCCTTCCTCAGAGGTTAGCTGCTGGAAGATGATGCTGACCAATAACTTTCCATCTAGTGCTGAGTTCCAGAACTTTATGTTGCTGTTCCCTGAAAGGCTAAAGTGTGGTATTCAGGCACAGCAGCAACTTTACCTTTTGGTCTAATATAACCACTACTTTACCTTTATGTTATGTCTATTTGTCAATATTACCTCTACTTTGCCTTCATGTTATGTCTATTTGTCAATATTACCTCTACTTTACCTTCATGTTATGTCTATTTGTCAATATTACCTCTACTTTATCTTCATGTTATGTCTATTTGTCAATATTACCTCTACTTTGCATGAAACTCAAACTGAATTCTACCAGAAGTTTAAAATGGTTAATCACACAGTAAGATACACATTACAGAATACTTGTACATATCTCATTAAAAGTTGCAAGTTGCATTAACACTTTTCAATAAGATGAACATTTAATGAAACATAATAAAAATAATTCATGCTTTTATGTTCTTTGATGTCTGCATTGCTGAGTAGCTTTGTTAACAGAAGACTTGAATGATACTTTACTGTCATACTTCTATGCATGCACTAAACATTTGCTTCATGGAACTGAACTGAACAAGACCCATGTAAATGATTCTTATCAAATCTGGTGTCAGTTTACATTTCAAGCTAAACTGGAGTCAAAAGAAGCAAGTAAAATGAATAGAAAGAAGCCAGAACAAAGTGCAGAGAAAAATATTCAGACCACATAAAGGTAGGGATATTACACATGGAACTCTGTAATTTGTGTCCTTCACCTAACAGTATTAGAATGATTAAAGCAAGGTTAAACGAATGGTTCACGTAGAAAGGAGAAGATAACCTACACTCATGTAGATATAGGAGTAACATTAATTTTACTTTCTCATATACGTAGTTGTGATTATGCAAAATATCAATCTCAAGATACTGATGGATTTACATGTTTTCAGCCCCTTCATTATCAAAAAGTGATTTTTCGAATGCTGTCTCTCTGTATGGACAGATTGATGTGTGTGCCTCATTAGAACCTGAATGACTGGGTTTTATATATATAGTATCTGGTATTCAAGAGTTTATCCATCGCAGGTCAATGTCTGGTAAATGTGAAAAATCCAGCTACAATAATAAGCGCCTTTCAGAAGAGGCTCAAAACAAAAAATGACAATTTTCTAGAAAATGGCTCAATGATTTTATTAAATTTCAGCAATTTATGAAGACATACACCTAAACAAAACTGCAGAGTGGTAATCTTCAGGAATATAACATAGAGAGAGTTCTTTTAACTTTGTGACCAGTTCACAGCAACCAGCGTGCGCTGCTTGCAGCAAGGCCTAGACAAATTTTGCCAATGAATCAGCATGACTGATGGCCGATAACATTTGGAATGAAGGGACGTAATTAACTCGTAGACTGCTTGATGGCATTATGTTTCATGGCAACAAGTGTGATTCATGCATGGGAGTTTGTTTACAATTTGTCAGCAGTAGGCAGAAGGTATCAGCTCCATTAGCTATTTGTTCTCAGTTAGTCAGTGTGCAGTGAGGTGTCATGGTGTGGTGTACTTCTGTATGACACCTATGTGAAATACGATCTGCTAGAAAGTGTTGAAGAATTTTGTGATGAAAGTGCTCCCAGCAGACAAACAGTTCACAATTTGATGAATAAACGTAGAACAATGGGAACAAAGTCATATGCAAGAAGGGCAATACAATTACTGAAGCCCTGACCCTATAAAACAACACTAATTCAAGCATGCCCTGTGACCACATGATCCAGCTAGCAGAGTTCATATTTGCAGTTGGTTTCTACAGTCTCTTGTTGAAGGTGAGGTGGATCCGCAATTGACATTCTTTTCTGATGAAGTGTAGTTTCACTTGCAGGGATACATAAGTATGCGAAATAAGAAGTTCAGAGAATTCACATGTAATCCATAAAGTCATGCTCCATCCAGTGAAAGTTGCTGTCTCGTGTGCTGTAAGTGCAAGAAGGACCTGTGTACCTGTTTCTTTTAACAAAACTCAATTGCAAAAGTTATTTACATGCAGAGGGACAGCATTTTCAACATCTCCTGTGATCTGTGAATTGTATCAACTTCATCCCGAATGTTATCAGCCATCAGGCATGCTGATTCATCAGCAAAATTCATATGTGCCTCATGGCCAGCAGTACACCTGTCGCCGTGAAGTGCAGATCAGTGGAACCGGTCAGCAGAGTAAAACTCCTCCCTGTATATGCACCAGGGGCCTTAATGTGAAATGTTCATTTTCTCAAAACCACCTTTACTGGTGAGACTGATTTCCTGATGTTCAGCAACCTGCAAGGGTCAATTTTGTTTCCACGGTAGCACAGTCAAGGTCCAATTCTCAGGGTGGGGTAAAATTGAGACCCTTGGCAGTCAGGTCATAATGGTCCACCATACCAGACCTGGATAAGAGAAATGGAGCATTTGGTGGAATAAGAATTGGCTGGGGAAAACAAAGTTGTCAGAGAAAATCTGTCCCGGTGCCACTTTGCTCACAACAAATCCCATATAAACTGACCTGTGATTGAATCCAGACCACCACGATGAGAAGCCAGAAACCAACCACCCGAGATGTGGCAAGGAAAAGAAAATTAGAGAAATAGGATGTGAAGGACTGGAATGAATTCAACTGGCTGAGAGTAGAGTCCAATGGTATGCTTTTGTGAACATAGTAACAGACATTCAGATGCCACAAAAGTTAGGATTTTCTTAACAAACCAAGTAACTATCAACTTCTCATAAAAGACCCTGTGCAATGGAATTAGCAACTAACAAAAAAGAAGTCTGAAAAGAACCATAGGATGGAGAATAATATGAAGTCTGCCAGCAACAGAGAGGCACGATAATGCAAGAAATATTACTCTTATTTGTATTATTTTGAAATCAGAACCAGATATTCTGACGGAAGGAGATTAATGGATTTTGGGAATTACAGATGTCATGTCTCACAAACCACTCGAACGCCCCAGAGAATATATCATGTTAGGATGCAATGCCAGTGAATTAGAAACCCCCGACTGCTACATTATACATTCCATCTGACGTTAATCTACTCTGATCAGTTCCTCCTCCACACATTCCTAGTGTTACCAAACATAACAGCATCATGAAAGAAGATGCATGCAATCTGAAATCAAAGACATAGGATGAACCCAAAACTGTAACAGACAAAGCAAGCAATTAGTATATTAGTATCAGTGGTACTTCTTAATGCTCCAAGCTTACTGCTGCACTTCCTTCTGGTTGACAACTGTATCTCTTTCAAAATAGCATCAGTGCTTTTACTTGGTCAAACGTCAAGTACAGATGAATGATTACTATCTACTGCATCAACTGCTGATGAGGTCTGGACCAATCATTTCTAACTATGCCATACCCAGAACCACATTAACTTCCTTACTTGCAGCGGGAAGATGTGGAGGATGCACGGTGAGCGCCAGGGGCTGTGGGTCACCCGGTAACATGCGTAGTCCTGACGGAGCAAGCAGTTGGATGGTGGGACTAACCAGTGTTGCAAGACCTGTGGTCCCAACCATCTGTCAACACATCAGCCATCATTACAGCATGCCCCAGCAAACAAGATATACAGTAACAGGAACAAACTACCAAACAGACTCACATGTGCAGACACGGGCAGTTGCACCACAGGTGTGGGGGGTGTGGATTTGGAGACCTCTCCTCCATGCCCATGCAATTCTGCAGGTACTGGAGGTGGAGGAGGTGGAGGGGGAGGTAGCTGTGGTGGTGAGCAGGCAGTGGCAGCACTGGACAGGGACGATGTGCTGCTGTACACAACACCACACTTGTTGAGTGGCTCTTCTGCATCACTCATTGCCTCATCCCTCTCTGTGGCAGTAGAAGTGGTATGGGACACATGATCTCTGCTTCGGGGATCTTCAAGCACATGAGTACTCTCTGGCAGGAGGGTGTTGAAGTCAATGTGATCCCACTGAGAAGACAGCTCCTTCTTGAGCATCACCAGCCTCTGCTGTGCAGCAATCTTCTCTCGTGCCAGTCGCTCCATTTCATGCTCAAATTCCCGCTCCTTACGCCGCAGGGACTAACAACACACAGATGTGACCAGCTGTTTCACCCCATAGAAATTAAAATTAAACTGGATAGCAGATACAATTATAAATAAACATGGGAAAATCAAGGTCTTGAAGATCATTCAAAACCAATAAATATTAAAGCATGTTCTGCAGAACTCTGGGGTTTGGTAACAAAATATCAGTGGATATATCTTTCTAATGATGCAATTATGGAGGTCACCTATGAGTATGTTTCTTGAAAAATTACAAATCCAAATCATGCTCTGTCCTTGTGTAAGTTTGAGTTTTGGTCCAAAACCATTGTCACACAGAAATCTGAACACTTTTAAACTGTGAACAATTCGTTTAGCAAAAGCACACTATGAGCTAGAAATAAGGTTTTCATTATACAACGTGTGTCCCAAAAGTCATGAAATATATATATATATATATCATCATCATCATCATCATCATCAGTAATCTGTCAAGACGACAGGTCCACAGTCTCTTCCAAAACAATTCCTCCACTTAATGCGATCTAGAGCTTTCTCCTTCAAATGACAGTATCCTCTTCTGTCCCCAAGGTCATCCAGCATCTTCTTACGTCTTCTTCCCACTTCTATCCGCCCCTCTATCTTTCCTTCAATAACTTCTTTTAGAAGGCAGTTTCTGCGTAAAACATGACCAATCCAATTAGCCTTCCGTTTTCTTATTTCGTGTAGGATATTCCTCTGCTCAC